TATATATACATATATATTTGAATATTTACATTTTATATTTAAAATTTTTAAAATGAAAAAGAGAATAGAGTAATTAAACAATAAAAAAACATATATGTATTTTAGTTACCACGAACTTGGCATTTACGATCTTCCTGCAATGATCAATTACATTTTATGTGCGACGAGATACGAGAAAATCTTCTACGTTGGTCATTCGGAAGGTACCACTCAGTTCTGGGTAACAGCATCGGAAAAACCCGAGTACAATTCGAAGATCATTTTAATGATAGGCTTGGCACCCGCGGCTTTTAGCGGCAACATTCGCGGACCGGTCAAGAAACTCGCCAAATTAACTTATCTCGGCGTGGTGAGATACAAGTCATTTTAAACATTCGCATATAAAAATTTATAACTGATTTGAAGTTTCATTTTCATTTCCTTTATAGTGGGTCGGTGAAACTTTCGGCTATCCAGAATTTCGTTCGCGGTCTGCTTGGGGAAAATTTGTGTCGAATCTATTCTGTCAGAGCATGGCGTCCACACAATTCATCTGCAGTAATATTTTATTTTTAGTCGCGGGATTCAGCCGTGCGGAATTAAATACAGTGAGAGCAAACGATATATATTTCATCGATTTCCATTTTCTATATCTGACATTACACTTTTCTTTCACTCATATTATTGATTAAACTTTTCTATTCGTTTGGACAGGAAAATCTGACAGTTATCATAGGTCATGTTCCTGCTGGGGCTTCCTGGAAACAATTCGTGCATTATGGTCAAGGATACATTAATGCAGGTAATATCATAATAATTATTATACAGAGAAAGAAAAAAAATTGAATACTCCACAAACGACATATTATATAATATATCAAATTCCGAATAAGTTTCTCTTTTTCGAAAAGAACTTTAAAATATGCTTCAGGGCGCTTTAGACAATTTGATTATGGTGACATCGACAAAAATCTTATAATGTACAATTCAACGACACCGCCGGATTATCAATTGGAAAAAATCACAGCGCCAATAATACTCTTCAGCAGCGATAATGATTGGCTAGCAACTACAAAGGTATGTTTCATAATTTAAAAAAATTTCTTTTTGCAAAAATTAAATTAAATTTTGTAGAAATAAACTTTGCAAATATTTATTTCAAATATACTAATTTAAAATAATTTTATATAATTAAAGTTTATTAAAATCAAAACTTTATTGATCATTCATTAATCTTCTTTTTTAATTTTCGTTCAAGGATGTGGAACTCTTATCTACCAAACTCAATAGTATTGTGCTACATTACAAGATTCCCATGAATACCACCTTTAATCATTACGATTTCATATGGGGAAAGTCCTCCCTGCAATTAGTATCGCGACCTATTCTACAATTGCTAGACCAATATCAATAATGTGGTATTCTTCCTAAACTAAAAATCTTTTCTTAATAATAGAAAATTACGAAGATGCAACAAAAATAAATGTATAGTGAATCGGTTTAATTTATTGTTATATTATTAGTGTTATTATATATCAGTATAAGTTACGCGCGCGCGCGTTTTATTTGCATATTATAATCTGTACTTGTGTCTCTATAACTTTACTTCTCTGGACTTAACTTCAGAGCAAACATACTAATACATACTAGTACAAAGTAACTTTGTTTATAGAGTATATAGTATTTTTCTTGCATTATATAATACCGTCGTTTTTCATCTTTATGTATATTTATATACAAATTCCATCATAATCAATCTTGCGATCACTGCACATAAGAAACTACACACACATCTGCGATAATTTCTCGCGATCACATAAAACCGCCACGATAGAATTATAAACTTAACTTTCTAATCGCACTTGAGCAGCATCCAGAAAGATTCTTATCCGCTTCAAAAACTGTTCCGCTGAAATACAGTATGCCTATCCTGGAAGAAATAGACAATAGTTTTGTCTCACGCGGCTGATGCTTTAAGCAATTGATTTACTTCGCATATATGGTATTTTTTTTTACTATAATTAGAGTTATATATAGCCTATGCTAACTATTACATTTACTTGTTTATTATATATTATTAAAATCACTCAAATATGGATGAGCCAGCTCGCATATTTCGGTATCAAGTGCAACTCGAAAAAATAATTTTGGATAATTTAAAAATATTTTAATAAATGTAAATAAAATTCCAAGTAATTAAAAATAAAACCTTTTAAAACTCAAAAGTGTGTTGCAATTTTATGTCTTTTTTTTATTTTACATAGGTCTTACTTCTACAAGAATTTAAATCGAAAGTAAAAACAAATCAGTTGCACTTGGAAATAGCTCACAAATTGCTGGCCACGTGTATAATATATAATAATATACATATCGAATTATATATTATGTGTATGCATGATATGTATTAGTTCATATTAGAATAGATCAAATGAGAAATTGCCGATCTATAATCACGTGATTTGTATGAAAATTTGTATGAATTGTCTTCGATCATGGTGAAATTTTATTTATCATACAAATGGAAATAAATAGAATTTTTATCATGTTATTAGTACATATCGCTACGACTGTATCTTTGTATGCCAGTAAAAAATTAGCACATAAATCATAATCGATACTTGAGCTCATATATTGGCCACTTGAGATTCATCCAAGATGATATCTGTCTTTGCGATAAAAGTAATAGCTTGATTCTAATTTAGTCCTTACAAAATTCGATGATACGTAAAATATGAATAACATTTTAATATAATTATAAAATGTATCAATAACCAAATAACACAAGTTATATAATATATATCGTCATCTGGTTTAGGTATTAAAAAATTGTGTTACTCTATGAGGTATAAGAATATCTCAAGATGTATTACAACAATCATAATTTATAACGAGATAATATTACGATAGAGAAAAACTTGCAACGACAAAATTACATACTAATAGATTTGATAGAATCAATTCTAATATGTGCCTTTTCCCCTTGCCACCATCACATACGCGATTAGACAAAATTGATATATTGGTGATAAAAGAATACACATACAGATAGACTGCGTAAAAAGAAAAAAGATTTTAAAGTCTCTTTAGATTTAACGCTGTTTCTAGATAGAGCATCCTCTACTTCGTTAACAATTTTCTTATATGTATATAATGCTCTTAAGTAAAGCAAAAACTTATAAGTAGATTAAAGAAGTGTAAATTATATTGATATAAATCCTTGTGAGTATATGAAAAGATAAAAACAAAAAGAATGATATAGATAATAATGATATAATAACGATATTCTAATATTAAAAAAAAAAAAAAAACGGGAAATAAGATTTCTTTTGCAAGAATATGGTTTTTTTTAAATTATACAGTCTCTTTGAATGTACAAATGTGTATGAAAGGAAAACGAAATACAGTCCCGTTTGATGGAGCAAGAGGAACTGATTAATTCCTTTGCATATAGGTATTATTTTATTTGTAACACTTTAAAGGAACATAATCACATATCCTCGCATATCCACGGAGATAACGTGTCGATGGCTACTGTACTTAATAGTCTATCATTCATATGATGTAGAATGTATCCGAGAACCAATATTATTTCTATGTGGGAAACGAATCAAGGCTTATATATATATAATATGTATGTATTTATGTATGTATGATGTATGTATATGTATGTATGTATATGTATGTTTGTATGTGTATCTATATGTATGTACATGTATATATGCATACATATATATGCATGAGATATTAATGGAATTTTAAATATACGCAATTATATTCAATAATAATTAGGAGGCCATCTCTTCTTAAATACATCATCAATAACATACGCGTGGCACTTTTGCCATCACGGACGAAGGAAGGCACGCGTATAATCAATTCTCATTAATTCTGCGGAACGAGATGCATTTAATTAATCCAACCGCTCTGACACACCCTTCTCCTTGATTGCTCGGTGAAGACAAAATGCACCACGTCAATTTATATCTCATTTAGATTGTATAACAAATCCTAAAATTATAGCGTCCCTTCCGCTTCTTGATATCATGTATTCTATAATAATTAAATACAACCTTCGTACTCTCGTTAATATTTTACTTATAAATATTACACACACGCGCGCGCGCGCGCGCACACACACGCGCACGCGCACAGATGCACGCACGCATGCATAACTGTTATGTACATATTATATACATATATATATATGTGTATATTATACGCATATACATCATATATAATTATAATACATATATAACATATATAAATAACATAATTTATATGTATATATGTACGTATATTGTGTGTGTAATTAATAATTATATATATATAATTAATCTCGTCTCTTTTCTCTTACTGTATCGTTCTGTCAACATTAAAATAAAAACAGTTTTTTAATATCTCAGTAATTTACAAACAGAAAAATATATGTATGTCAGAACTAAGTTTTTTACAACTTTTAATCTTTTTTTCAAATTATATGCATAAATTATGATGAAAATATATTGCAATTGCAATATAGAATATGTATATATATACTACAATAAAATGTGAATTAATTAGTTCGGAGCACTGTGCATATGAGCAAAGTAAGAAATGTGAGTGTGGAAAATTTATTAGAAAGGCAGCAGAAGTCACACATATACCACACACACACACACACACGCGCGCGTATATATATATATATATATATATACATACATACGCGCGCGCGTCGATGATGCAGTTACCGTATAATCCATATTCACATAATTATACCATTAACTAACCGAATATTAAATAATATATGACCGAAAAATTATTGTACTGTAATGTGTCAATATATTACACACAAACATACAAAACACACACACGAATGCACGCACAGAGATATATATCTACACACATATATCCATACATACAAAATCTCCGATATTTATTTTCTCTTAAACTTTTTTGTCATACATCTGAAACGCGTATCTGCATCATCGAATATCTTTCGATACTATGTAAATGCATAAATATATTATACGGGGTATTCCGTGAAATATATTCGCGAATCAAAATATTATAGCAGAAAAGTTTTCCAAAAGTTAAGTAAAAAATTATTTGTGATTTTTATTCCAAGCAATAGTTTCTGAGATATAAGGGTTTAAAGCTGACTGTATTTAGATGGTCGTCCGTATGTTCGTGAGTTGCATGTATGTTAGTATTAATGACAATTCATAAACAGGAGACTATCTAAATATGTCCTGTGATTGATTAGTTCTAAACCCTTATATCTCAAAAACCGCTTGGAATAAAAGATCGCAAATAATTTTTTTACATAATTTTTTCTACTGTTGTATTTTGATTCGCGAATTTTGGAATACCCTGTATACACATTGAATACATACATAGCGAGATATTCCAAAAAAAAATAACCCGTTGTCACTTTCTTTATTATACTTCAAACAAAAAATTAAATAAGAATTAAAATAAGCAAATCTGCAAATTATGTTATACGAGAAGAAAAAAGAATTATATCTACGTTTGTTATCTCAGAATCCTGATGCGTATATTTAAATTCGGCGTTCAGGTTTAGGTTTTAGGTTGATAAACTCTTAAATGAAAATACGAGAAAAGATAAGGATCTCAATACCTGAAAATGTCTGCAAAATTTAAATTACATAGAAAAATACCTGTGTACCATCTCCTATAAAAATCTGAACATTAACAAATAATAATATATAACGAATAATATATCCCAGTAAGCAAAATGCACGCAATATGTCAGCAGATTAGCAACAAATTTACTTAGAAATGGCTAGCAAATTGGCATCAACTATATACGGATTAAGCTTGTGATTTGCCGGCAAAGCCTGTTCACAAAATCTGACAGCAGACGACTAATCTGACGACTTAATCGATATTAATAGCTCCTGTACCAAATTTGTAGCCTTTCTGCTGACAACAATTTGTAGCAGGCACTTGGCAAATCTGTTTGAACAGATTTGGCTGACTGGGTTCTTAGTCGTAAAACGTGAGTTTTGCGCGACTTCTTTTTCTGCACTTTTTCACACACACACACACACACACACACGTGATCTGTAAAAAGATCGCACATAGAAGAAAGTACAAAGATGATTGATTTATACGCTACTTCCCTAGGTTTATATTTCACACAACTGTTCGCACGCGAACGAGCTAATAATATCTATCTCCATATTTTCGGAACATATAGTTGAGATATCTGAGAGGCTCGGATATACAATTGAAAATCCGTGTAACTTCGACATGTTTTAGATTAAATAAAATTTTTTTTAACTCTGATTTATAAATATAATATGCTTCATCCATCTTTGTGGAAATGGTAAAATAAGTATTCTCTTAATTCGCTTAAATGTATCCGAAATCGCCAAGTATACGATTATAAATATTTATATAATATTTCTTTTTATAGATGTACACATAACAGAAGTATACGAATATATTGAAAGTTCATGAAAATGACAAAATCCAAGCAATGTGAAACTCGAATTTTTGTATTTTTTTCTAGGACTCGCTAATCTCTTAAAAAAATAAAATTCGATATAAAATGTAGAGAATATATATCATGCAAGTCTGCCAATGTCATCGCTGTACCACATACAAAATTTATAAACGCAGTTCGATACAATCTCGTGCAATCTCAATCGAACATAGAATGGTAATGCCACCAATTATAATTTGCGTATTTTTTTAAGTCCCTTCCTTATCCAACAATATCTCGATTATTGTGCGAAATGCCGTATTCCGCTTGCGGAAAGATAATATATTCGTGTCAGAAGATATATAGATTATATTTTATTTTACGATATTTAAGCGTCTGTCCTAAGTAATAAATTCAACTGCAATATATAACGCCGAAAATCAAACATTATGAAGACGTTATTGAGGATATTATACCATATAGTATATCATGCTGTTTAATACCATCAGCGCGCGCTAATCTTTTCATATTTTAGAATACTTTTATGATTATTTTATAGCTGCATTCACCCAACTCATCTCTATAAAAAATAGCAGATCGACGATGTTCGTCGTAGTTTATATAAAATAATAGTAATCTTTGCAACAATTAAGTTTATAGCGATAACACGCATTCAATTGATTCGCTATGTTACAATAGGAATTCATGTATATTAGAAGTTTTCTTTATACAAATACTGTATAATCCTACGAAAAAAAATACGAATGATACAAAGATAAAATAGTATGTTAGTGTCGTTCGCGAGTAAAATAAAGACAAGAGGAAAAGCAAATCTTTGCATATACACAGAGTATAACTATGTTAAAAATCACGCACAAATTCTGCGACGCATAAAATATTACATTCGTACGCGTCCGCGCGATACAAATGATACTTTATTAAAAATGTTGAATATATATTGGCACCATATTCTTTCTAACGCACGATCTCTTTTCTAACGCAAATCATGTTAGATACTTTCTTTTATATAAAAATGCTGTTCTTTATGCCGAGCAAAGATAATATCGATTGTTGTTTTTTAAAGATAATACACCGAAACTTATCCTTGTTATCATATATGTACTTATATCTTCAACGCTCAAAAGAATTCGAAAAGAACTACAAAATTTAATTATATTTCCTTCTTATGTGATGCAATTTGGTATATATTTCGTCTCGTTAATATTTTCTTATATCTATATATGTGTATGTGTATGTGTGTATGTTGATATTCCTAAATACTTTTCTAACTTATTCTTCACACTTACGATAACTCTGCATCGATCTTTTTGCAGCTATATCAACACGTTCGCGGCTGGCAATTTTGCCGTGATCCTAAAGTAAAAAGCCGCAAGGTTCTGCAATTAAGACAAGGGTAAAATTATGAAAATTTGCTTTTGAATATCATGTTTTGAATCACTTATTATTTGTAATTGGAATAAATACAGGAAATTCTCTGTTATGCGGTCACTGGTAAAAAAAGAACTATTTGTCCGGTTGAGAAACCCGTTTAAAATTAAGAAGTCCGCGGCTTTTACTTTTAGCCATGAAAAGACATAGTATTACGTTAAAGCGACCGTTAATGTATTAATCTGCTTTTTGCGATATTTCTTTTTTTAGCATTTTTAATTGTCATAAATCACTAGAACAAAAATCCCAGTATAATTTTAATACATAGTATATTCGTGTAGATCTATTTTTTTAATAATTGCATTTTGTCAAACGTTTATCGTTCAATTTTCTTATTCATTAATTTTATTACAAATATTAATTCAATAAAACATCCCACAGTGATTTTAACAATGTTTTCTTTTATGGTTAATACTTGTAATGTAATATGCTACAAAATTTGTTTGCAATTAGTTTAGAATAAAGTTAGAGCGGATGCTTTACATACATTACAATTGTCTTATTTATTAGAATTTTTATGAATAACCAAGGAATATTGTGTGCATAATGATCTCTATATAACTTTAAGAAGGAAATTATTCTTTAGTATACTCCAACTGCTCAGTTGTTCGTTTGCTCGATATTTTGAAAAACTATAAAACACTTGTACTAATCACACGCTAGAAATCAGTATACCCTCTCATGCTTGGATAAGAAGTATACTATTGATATAAACATATAAATATACAACTCTAGCTGTTGTGGAGTAAAAAATATTTCCAGAATATAGTTCCTACAAATAAACACACATACACATTTTCATAGAAAATTATTTTTACTGCATATTCTTTTTCTGTTCTAACGAGTACAATTCCTCGAGAACAAAAGAAACACTTGGAATTTATAACTGTAGCTATAATATGCAACAGTCCTTTAACCTATAAAGTGACCAGCGTAACAATTAATCAATTTAATCGAGATAATAGGAATGTCTGTATAAAAGCATCACATTTAAATATAATTACTACTCATTTTATGTTTCGCAAGATTTAGCAAAGAACTTCACATAAGAACTATTCAATGAAAGAGAGAAGAGAATATTATACCTATATGTTTGGTATGATCCTTCCACAATGTAACTAATACATATAACTCGTGCTATTATATGTTTCAAATGCCGATTATATAATTTTAGACTACTCTTGATTATTCTTTTTATCATTAAACGTAATCACATATAAAGGAATGATTAATCGCGTAATACTTTGAGAATATCAATCTGCTGCACAAAAAAAAAACAATAATGTAAAAAAAAAACAGATCAATTGAAGCAATCAGGTACATTTTCACATTTAGCTTTCCAATAAAAAGTTATGAATGAAAAATAACGTCACTCATTAATACGCTTATATTTGCAGCACCATGTGTGAAAGAGAACAGTTAACTTAATTATATATATATATGTTTGTGTGTGTTTGAATTAAACATCTTTTTATAACTACGTGTGTGTAGTTATCCAGGACGTCAACATCCAAGATGCCATAAATCTCAAGTCATTTCTATAAAAATGCGTATCACGAGTGATCAAATTAGAGACAATCTTATATCTCTTTAAAAAAGAAGCTCGAGAATCGAGCTTTAATTTAATGGAAGGCAAAATATTTGTTTCAGAAGACCTTTCCGCGGATTTTCATCCTCCATATCGTCATAATTGTTTTCGTCATAATTACTAACAATCGCGTTATTATTGCCGGAACTATAAGTTACGTCTGTGATATTCAGAGAACGAGGGCATGCCGGGTTTTCATATCGGAACGGGAAGGGCGGCGATAGCTGTCGATGATGTTCATTATAATTATTGTCGTTCTCATTCTCCTCCGAGTATGTCATTAGAAATACGTTATTGTGATAACTTCGATTGCTTGACCCGACAACGGGGAGCAGGGGATCAATACGAAGTTTCGCGAGTCTATCTTGCAATTCGTACATATAGCATTGCTGCAATTGATACTGCTGCTGTTGCTGTTGCTGCTCCTGCTGCTGTTGCTGTAAATCTTGATTGTGACGCTGCACAATGAGAATCGGCTCTTGTCACACGCAGTCCTCTAGTGACATTAATAGAGGATTTACATACTCAAAACCGTCGAATTCACTCTGATCGATCTTCTCAATTAGCTTCCTGCAATATAATAGACATATCAATGTCATAAATATTTACAAAAATATATCTTTTATATATGTATATTAACTCTTAATATAAATAAAAACAATTTTTAATGAAAAGAGAAATAATTTTAAGAAAAATAATATATAAGTTAAACTAATAAACTTACGGATCATCCGGAGTCAAACGAACTTCTTCGTCCGTAAATTCAGGCGGAAAGTTTGCTAGATCACGATCTGAATCCAATTGTGGCGTATAAGGTGTTGTTACCTGTTTTTGTTCCAACTGCAAAATTACAGACAGCTATATGGTGACATGTGAAAAATCATATACCGCAAAATACTTCGCAAAATGAACAAATTTACGTTTGTATCCGTAGTATGATATTTACCATTTCCCAATCGATCGGTTTAAAGAAAGGATGGGAGACGATGTCAAGAAAACCAGAGGGTCTCTTTCTGCAACCTAGCCTCTCCGCGGGATCTTTACAAAGAAATCCTCTAAGAACAGACGCTGCCTTAACGGACAACGATCGCGGTATACGTATAGTCTTTTCCAGAATAACTTGAAATAGAAAATCCTCAGTATTCTTGTCCGGCTCCTCGGCTGCACCAGTGAGATCGAAGGGGCTGCGGCCCGCCAACATCTCGTATAAAAGAACCCCTAGAGCCCACCAGTCCACCGAGAAGCTATATTCCTCGCCACGGAGAATTTCAGGAGCGATATAATTGGGAGTGCCGCAAAAAGTGCCAGTGTTGTCGCCCTCCCGGATACCCTCCTTGCACATTCCGTAATCCGTAAGCTTAATATGTCCTTCATGATCAAGCAATACATTATCCAGTTTCAAATCCCTATATATAATTCCTGAAAGTAAATGATTATCGAGTTTAAATCGAGCGTATTCAATCTTCAACAAACTATTAATGTTAAAAGAGAGAAAGAGAGGGAGAAGAGAAAAAGGAAAAAAGAGAGAAGAGAAATAATAAAAAGAGAAAAAAAGAGAGGGGAGAAAGAAAAAAGGGGGAAGGTGGAGATAGGGGAAGAAGAGGAAGAAAATTCTTTACCCTTTTCGTGTAGAAAGTTTAACGCCAAGCTGATCTCGGCTGCATAAAACCGCGCGTCTTTCTCCTCAAGACGACGCTGTCTCTGCATATGAAACATGAGATCGCCACCGCGCACGAATTCGATCACGAAAAACAGGCGCGAAGGCGTTTGGAAGCAGGAGTGCAGGCCTACCAGGAAGGGATGATTCGAAGCTGTCTCGAACACGTGTTTTTCCGTTTGTACCCAATCGATGTCCTCGTCATCCGTCACCAGAGACTTCTTGATAACTTTCATGGCGTAGATCCTCTTAGTACGTTTTAGCTCCACCATCAAGACCTTGGCATAGGAACCACGGCCGATCACTTTGATTAGCTCGAAGTCGTTCAACGAGTATTGCCGTTGCATATCGTTCGATGTGTCGCCCTCGTTTAGTGTATCTAACGGCAGTTCTTCCCCTTCCTCACTTCCGATATCTTCGTAAAAAAAAAGATAATAAATGAAAAAAAAAGTCTTTGGATTGATGATCGATGAATATAGTAGTGCGTTTTCAAATAAAGTTCTATATTAGAGATTTCTATATTACTAATAAATTAGAGGAAATATACATATTATGTTCAATGTATATAAATCAGTATTAATATGTACATACATCTAATTAAAAAATGTCTTCTCAGGAAATTAGAATTTAAACTACTTATCTCCTTTATATACAATTATAAAAATATTAAATAATACAGATCTTAAAAACTTTTATCGAAAAATCTTACGATCGCGCGAATGCTCCTCGATCCGCAACTCCGACATCTCATCCTCGAGATGAGATGTCGGATCGCACGGATACGGATCAAGCTGTTGATCGCCATTTCTGTCGATCGTCAGGGACTCCGCACTCTGCAGTTGCTGCTGTTGCTGAGTCAGGCACGGCTTGCGCACCACTTTGTGGCATTTTTTGTGCACGAGCAGTTTGCATTGAATGCACTTGAATCCCTGTCGTCCGAGGCCCCAAATTCGATCTTGGCAAAACGCGCAAAATGCCCTCTGCAAAGCAACAAACATAAAGAACATTATATTACATTTTCCTGAACTTATTAAAAATATATTAAAAGACATTTAAAAATAGTAATTGTGTTTAAGGCTCGCAGAGTAATTAGTACGCGAGGTTTCAATTTGCTTTCAAACTCCAGTTTAAACACGTCTAAATTTATTCAATACGATAGCACAGCTATCGTAACGCAAATGCAGCATAAAACTTTGCGGGATTGAAATCTGAATCGTAAAAAATAATAATTCAGATATAAGTTCTTAAACACAACAAATGCTTTTCCAAAAGAGTGGGCAAAGTAAAATATTGTAAAGTATAATGGAAAAAGGAAGATAAGCTGAACAAAATGGGAGGATTCCGCGTGGAAAGAAATAGAAAGGATTTGCACTAAAGCAAAAACCCGGTTACATGTACATTTTTGCGTTTTCAATTATACGAAACGAAAGAGAGAAAAATCTGCTCTCCTTGTCGACGACGAAGTAACACTAGCCAGCAAGTTTTAGAGTATAGAAGTGAAAGAACTCTACACACAGAGCACTCATTTTCGTCGTCATGTCGTACTTGCGGCAGATCTGTCTTCGCATTACATGTGAGAAAGAGAAGAGGATGACAAGGAAAGAAAACGGGGAGGCTATGAGGTGATGAGTAGACTATGCAATGATAATTAAATGGTACGATGCTTACCCGATTGAATCGTTTCGCCTGAAAAACATGGCCGTTCACCCGATAGTGCTTCCTCCACCTACGAGCGCCACGACGTCTGTAGATGCTTCCTTCGAAAAATGAAATAACATAAATGTCATAAATGATGGAAAGCATCAGTTGACCGATCAACTCGCCATGATCGACCAACTCGCCGTGATCGACTCTCGCGACCTATCATCGAACGATGAAATTTTATTCAGATTTCATCGCAGACTTTAATATAATTGCTATTTAATTTTTGATGACTTAACATCATTTAATAAATTGTAAATTGAATTTTTAATTCTGAATATATTATATAATTAATTTAAAAAAAATTAGTTATACAATAATTAATTAAAACTTAATTGAACCATTTTTTATTATTAATTGAATTATTGAATCGATAATTAAATTATTAATTACGAATACTATATTGTACAATAACTCATTTTTTTATTAACTTGTGGACTAAAAATTAATAAATGTTTAATACTAAAACTTTAAATAAAACGGTTTCTTTTAGGTACATTTTTAAGAATTTAAAAAATATATATCTTTTTAGATTTTTTTTTAGAGTTAAACACGAAGCTTACATAACATCTTGCAGGATGAGTAATACTAAATTTATGTTGTCCATGTGAAATCTTCGATACTAACTCGTGTGTTTCATGAACGTATTTCGATAATAAAGTTTTGTCATCGAATACTGCGAGTTTTTTGCGAATTGATTTCACCACTATTCTCTTTTTCTCTCTCTTTTTTAGCCCAGTCTCGACCGATCGCGTAATCGAATGATGCATGGCTTCACTCACAACAAAGTATATCAACGCGAACGGGAACAATAAAAACAACAACAAAGACCAATGGCAATAACAACGGAATAAATTCCCGCAAAATGTATCTTGCACAGTAAAAACGTACGTTGAAATAAATTATAGATAAGTTGTTTTTCTTTCTTTCTTGTATAAACTATCACACGAAATATTTCGAACCAGAAGATTGATCGGATCCAATCTATGCTTATCCATGAGCGCGACAATTACTGGATGTATCGATGCCAGTAATATGAAAAGAGCTCAGCGAGCTCATGAGAAAACGATTCATACACATAAAGCCGCACGATTTAAAATACAAGTTTTTTTAATGCAACATTTTCATACTTTAGCAGGCTTATTCTATAACTTTAAACGCATACGTTACAGAACTTGTATCTATAAAAAAAAAAATGCTTTATAGTTATAACGTATACATTAAAAGTTACGAAATAGGCCTGCAGGTCGTTGAAAGAGGCTCAAACGTCAATTCGATAATCATTGAGCGATTATGTATATCGTAAAGAACGAGCATGTTTCAAGATTTGGTCCCTCGCTGCAGCGGATTATAAAATAAATAATGGAAAATCATATAAAACTTTCTTTTTTCACCCTTCATAGATAAATGGTCATATAATCTAATTTTCACGTGTCTTATATTTTCAACGAAAATATATTTGGCGATAGTGGATCTTTGTTTACAGCTATCTGCTAATCTACAAAGCAAATTTTCGACACATTCTATATATAAATCTATTTGCGACGCGCGTAAAAATTATCTTGCAATGTGCAGCATAAAAAAAAAAAAGAATTTATGAGTTTTCTGACGCGTTAAAATTTCAGGGTTTTTACTCATATCTTGTAAAAAAAAATCTCTGAGAATTCCTCTTTCTTCACCCTGAATTTACTATAACATGCAATTTCACTATAACTGCAGCGAAAGAGCTTTAATTTAATCTTAATTTCGACGTTTAACGCACGAAGTTATGACGCGTTAATGTCGTGAAGATTGGGTAATTAAAAACATATCGAAGGGAAAGCTTGGTAAAGAGCGGGGTGTCGAGAACGAGAGATGAATGTATTCCTGCACAGTTTCCGCACGTAAGGGAATTAAGCCTCGTATATGCCTATTATCGAGCGCTAATCGTCTCTTTCTATCGACCGATTAATTAGAACTCGCTGGCTAGTACGCATTGATTAATATAATGTATGTATATGCAGGACATTGCGATTGCTGCAACATTTCCAATGAACACTAAATACACTCACTGTCTTCTCCCTGACACCACTTTCCAGGAGCAGGCGGTACGTTCGGAAAAACTGTAACAGAAGAAAAAAAATTCACTCACTTCGCTGCCAAATGCTTCGTAATAATTCCTCTATATCTCCAGCTTTCGTATATCGAAGTTTTCCGTTGTAATCTCAAATAAAATTTCCGACATTTCTATAAAAATAAATCTAAAATTTCTACGACTTGTTTAGATGATAATTTTTACTTCTTATGTGTCGTGTATATAGTTTATTTTTTATTTCTCATTATAAATTTAGCGATATACAATGACAATAATTATCATTTAGATCATATGAAAATATTGTGTAGAATTTTAATAAGCTCTATAATAAAGTCTATATATACTACCAAACAATATTAAAATCTTTTTATAAGGTATATCCAGATATTATCTAAAGATGCTGCGAAATCATACTTCCTAATATCATAGCCATATTATATCAATGATATAATATTGCGTATTTAATCTGTCGATGAGACGATTGATGGCACATGATTAATCTTTCTCTCTCTCTCTCTCTCTCATCTCGGCAAAGAGAATTACAAAATAGATTAACGAAATAATAAGATTCGCAAACTTACATGGAAAGCAATTCACGTACCCGAACCCGATCGACGTCCGCTGCTCATTGTCTAACATACTGTGTGTAGTAGTTGCCGTGTCCTCACTCCGGTTACAGTCAGATAACAACTAACACGGAATCCTATTCGAGCCATCGAGCGTCGCGTTATCACTTATCGCCGTCATCGTGTGTCGCGAGAAAGAGAAAAGTCGCGAGAGAGAGACAAGAAGACAGCAGAACGCTGATGACGAAATAGACGCGCGATAGACCGATAGACGGTCGCCTTGATGTAGCGCGTTCGCGATTAAATTTTTTCACGATTCCGCGCGTCGATAAAAACGTAAAGTCAATGAGCACGATATTTCCGCCAAAAAAACTGTTCCTGTCATTCTCGCGCGATGTCGTTTTTAATCTCGTTACTCGAATGATCACAAACATATATTTTGATTAGCAGAGACGCGAGAATACGAGTCAGAACAATCTTGGATCGGAGTTCATATAATAGAATAGAGATTAAATGCAATTAAGTGTATCCAGGGTGTCTATTCAAATCTTGTAAACAAATTTCTTGAAAATTCTCTGATTTTCTTGATTCTATTTTTATTTAAAATTCCAGATAAAGAGAGAATATTTTAAAGATTTTTTGGCGCAACTTTTATAAAAATAAGATTTTTTTTATTGTATGCATTTTCTAATGTTTTTTAATCATACGAAGGAAAAACACAGAGCCACTTAAGTTTCAAATGCTAGATTTGCAAATGTATTGAAAAAAATGCAATAGTTTTCTGAAGACATTTTCATTTGTATAATTTTCATTTTCTACTAAAAAAATTTTTTTACAAAAAATTACAATAAAAAATAATAAATTAAGTAAACGAGTAAACACCCTGATATTATATCATATGTCTCTGGTGAATAATGCTTCGTAAAATCGACAGAATTTACGAAAGACAATTCTTGAAAATTAGTAGAAAGTTGGAAGATTAGTAGAATAAAATTTAGCTGCGAATATAATTACAAATTGGTCGCTTTAAATTTTAAAGGGGCTATTCACAAACTTGCATGGCTAACAATAAGTCAAACATACGGTTTGATACATCGTAACTTGAGAGAAGAGTCAAGTAGTTAAGGTAAATATTAAAACGTTATAATGAAAGAGAGAAAAAGAAAGAAGAAGAGAACAATAAAAGCTCTTGTGTGGAGGTACGTGCTTTTATCAGGTAAAACAGTCGATTTTTTACTGAATATCAAAAATAGGTTCTCTGCTCAATACTCGATAAATGTAGGTTGATGGGCACTATCTATATAGAATACTAACAATACAAGTTCAATTAATAGATTTGTCTAAAATAAAGATATAAATATAATTTTGAAACAAGATTTATATATATAGTTAAGATATATACTAAATAAATAATTATTTAGATTAGAAGAGAGCGAAATCAACTTATTAATTACAAGATTAATTTTTAAAATAGATTTATATAAATTTAAATTGTGAATCATAACAACATGTACTAAAAATTGAAATATCGAGATTATTATAAAAATACGCATGTAAAAATCTATTACATATAAAAAAAAAAATATGCTGACGAAGAAAAAGTTAGGATAATCATACAGTTTACCATACTAATGTTACTTCTTCTATCAATATAAATATGAAGCAAAGCGCGGCTGCTAGAATTACGTGCATATATATACGATCGCGACAGGTTCGCTAACGAGGTCATCGCTGCTCCCTCATTGGTAAGGTACACGTAATCGAATCATTAGTTATGAGAAAGCCGCAGGCACGTATCGATGATGCAGGACAAGATGGGTATACGCGAGCGAGAGAGTCAAACGCGCTTTCTTGAAATATTCATAGACTAATTATCGTGAAATCGATGACACGTACGATAAAGACGATATACATACACTTACCCCCCGTTTCTCTAACGCGGGGGATATGTACAACGAGCTGTATGCGGGATGTACGAAACGCGGGACCCTAGAAGCACGATCTATAATAGCGTAAGTGCATAAGTGCATCGGCGCGCATGTACACGAAGAAGAGTACAATTAAAATCATATTTCAAACTTTGAACTCTTCATTCGTAACTGGATCTTGATATACAACAAAGTGTTATAATTCATGTTCATAATTAATATACTAAATAATGACAGTACATTTTTGCTACTTTCAATATATTGTGCGAGAAAACAAAGAGATAAACTTTATCGTTAAAATAGTGACAGCGATAATGATCGCTTAACAAATTATATTATTGTTACATTTTTATAATACAAGTTGATTATCTATCATAAGTAATAAAAAAATTATCGTAATTATTTTTCGAAATGATGATGTAAAAAATGGAAAACGTAATGCGTAATCCATTTCAATGCAGTCGCAATAAGTGCAGCAAAATTAAAAGAAATAAATTCGACATTATAAACATGTTAAAAAAAAAAAAAAAAATGTATCATTATCCATTATATCCGACAAAAAAAAGATGCATTAAATCGAGAGCACACTTCGACCACAATTTGCGATGTAATCTTGGTCCCTTGTTTTAATGAGAATAGAATCGCGATAATTAATTCATATGTGACCGACTTGGAGTTTTATATTACTGCAATGCGCTAAACGTCTGCGGCTACGACGATTTCCGTCAACAAGACCACCAAAGCCGGGCGAAAGGAGGCATGTGATATAGACATAGTATGATATAGCCGAGACGCATTGCCGAAATAAAAAAAAAATACGAGTTTTTCTAGCCGCTATGTCCAATTATATCGAACGAAATTGCATCAGAAACGTGATCGCCTACACAAAAACATTATCTAACCAGGCAGACAGCCAAGAAGATTTCGATCTAGATCGGATATCGCATTAAAAAAACAAACTAAAGATGACGAGAGGCGAAACTGCAAGGAGTGCGTTCTTTCTCGGTCAGCGTACTCTCTCGCTCGGCTACACCTACCCCAGGTGATCTCGTTGAACTGGAACTGCGACGGACCCATAGGCTCGACGTCGAGCAGCGACGTCATCGAGGGCGCGGACTCCGGTAACAGAGGTGGCAGCTGCTGCTGCTGATTATATGGTCCGTGCACGCGACACGTCGCGGTGGGCCCGATGTTGCGGCCATAAATTAATTCGGCGTTGACTATCACTTCCTCAAACTCGGTCTCGGACAGCTCATCCATACCCTCGGCGGCATCCGGCGGACACTGAAGCAATTTTGTTGATCTGGACGATGTGCTGGGCTGCGCAAAGATGTCATCGTGATGATGATGAAGATGATGATGATGCAATGGGCTACTGATGCGAGGAGGTGGCGAAATGTCGGCGGCGCGAAGGTGACCGATGATTGGTTGCTCGTATTCAGCCGAGTCGCCGCTACCCGGCGATGGTGGATACATGCCGGGTTTCACGTGGCGCTCGCGCGGTAACACTTGGATGCCGGTGGAGGTAGCAGAGGAAGAGGATGGACCACCACCACCACCCTCGACAACGGCGGTGGAGACACGACGGCTCGCGGCGGCAGCCGCCGTTGCTGCCGAGTACGAATAAAAAGAACCACCCTGGATCATCATGCTACAGGGTGGTTCCTCCGTCGCAACCCCCGCGACACCGGGACCGAGTTCTCGCTCCTGCTGCACGGTGCTATAGGTGCTTTGCGCCGATAATTCCGACTGATGCATCTGTTGTTGCTGCGACGACTGATGCAAGCACTGATGCTGTTTGTCCTTCTCGCGACGAGGTGACCGACCCCGATCGCTGACGGAAGTTGCGCTCCAATAACCCCACGCCATTCTGTAACAAGCCTAGCCGTGCTTGTCTCGCCTTGCTCAATCGTCCCGGTATATTATTATATAGTCTTGTGTCTGCTCCAATCGCGTTGCGATTGCCTGGCCTCTTTGTTGTCGTCGAGTGGGATCTCTTTACCTTTTTCTCTATATTCGATTTCCTTTCCTGCCTCGCCTTCCCTCCTTTCGACCGCGGTCGACCTCTTACACAGGAGCCGCCGGGATGAGCATGCGACGAATCACCAGCCTCGATCGATGCTAGTTTACCGCCTCTTTTGCGACCTCTCTCTGCTCACGGTGTAGCGCGCCGACGACTACCACTATAATCGAAATGTAGTCGATGACGCAACTCTTTTGTGGCTGTAAGAGAAGCTCTCTACAACCCCGGTTTGACTTCCTCCTCTCTCCGCTCCACACTTCCCTTCTGACGACCCGATCTCGCGATCTCACGGCCAGGTTTGCCTAGGAACGTGTTGCCCTTGCTGATCGGTCCGTGCAAGGATATCGACTACTGCCGCGGTGAGATGCGTTAACCGCCCGCCACCACCGCCCGGCGCACGCTACCGACCGAATCGCGCAAACGCGGATCGCCTCGTCGAGATGGAGGTGATACATATATCCTCCCCTTCCCTTTGCGCTGCCGGTTCTACACCCGCCTATGTTTACCCACAGATTCTGCCCACCCTCTTTCTCTCTCTCTCTCTGTCTCTCTTTCTCTATCCTCCTCCTTCTTTATACTTTTACTGTTTGCTCTCTGATTATTCAGCGATTTTTCTTGTCACCACTTTCAAGTAAACTTAGCTTCGCCGTCCTATATCGTATTATTACGTTTTTGGTTAACTCTATTTCTTTTCTTCAAGGAGAGAAGATTTTTCTGCTCTTTGTATATTTTTGTAAAGAATGCCTTTTAGAAAGGATTATTCCATCCTGCAGCATGCCGCACATCTGTCCTATTTTATTTTCTATTTTATTTCCCTACTACTTTTCTGTTTGTCATTTTGTTCCTTTGTCTCTCTTTGAGTTATCATTTTGCTGTTCTTTTGCTTGCTGCCTATCCTGTCGATTCTTCCTTGTCTTTCTATGACGATATGCGATCTTCACTCTTCACTCCTGGGCCGCTTTAATTTTCAATAAATAACGAAGATAGAACGACGTTCGTGTGCATACGAGTGGTGTTTTCGAACGCAGCCCTGCTGTTGCGACTGATGTTGTGAAACCGTAGATTTACGAAGACTGATGCATGTTATATGCATCAGAGAAACCGAGACGTTTTTGTCGCGCGAGAATGTCCGATCACTTTACAATCTGTTACATATAGCATATCCCAAGTCGTTCCCAATGAAAAAATTATTGATTCTTACAATGCCGCTTTTTAAGAACTCCGAAAAAGAGATGTAGCCAAATTATACTTAATAAGAGTAATTTATGGGAATGATTAATAAAAATGTTTGTGCTCTCGATATTATTTAAATTGCAAATTAATTTTACTTTATTTAGAAATAAAGAAACATGTATGTACTCGAGGTCTACTATCTATTTTTTCATTTTTGAAAAAAATTTTAAATTTTTAAATCTTTAAAATTCAAACGATTTTTGTTCTCCGTATAAGTTTACCCAAAAGAGCTTTGATTGTTATTAAACCAATGCAAAAAAAGCGAAAGACGAATCCTGCGGATCGGAAATGTATGCACGATCACGATGTGTGTTTCACCTTGCAAGAAATATTCTACCGCGCAAAAATGAGATCAGTATTGAGTCATCTCCCTAAAGCCCTAAAGTCTCGAAGAACGTATGAATTTTTAAACACATCATGCGTCGCGTGTGACTTGTATATAGAATCCTCGTGAACATAAATACATACGATCGAAAAGTATTGTCATCCTTGAGAAATCGACTCGCCAAATCAATCGATGTGTATTGGCGCCAATGGATTTCGCTCTTAATTGACCGCTCATATCGACAATAAACCGCGCAGATAAGACTAATATATCAGTGAGGCATATACATACTATTATCTAACTATACTAAGGCGCGTATCGATACTTGGAACGCAGTGAAGCGTTTGCACACACATTATCACGTTACTGCTAATTGTGCGAGCATAACGAGAATATATACATCTACGCGTAAAATTTATAAATACTGTTTTATCGAAATAAATATCAACGTAGAGTATTAAATAGATATCAATAGATATTATTTCCTTATATGTATGTGTGTATATCTGTCTTTGTTTAATAAATAATTAACTGTGCGTGCATACTCTCTTTTCATAGAGGGCCATTCTTAATTATTAATTAAGCGTCTAATACGAAAGCGATAATCGACGCAATATATAATAGTTTTTAAGCAATTAAGCGTCGCTGAAATCAAACAATAGCATGCAAAATAATTATGGTTTTAGGAGAAGTGATTTGTATATGTGAGTAATCTAATGGGTTTGATCTCTGTTGTAAATGGCGTACTAACCGTGTATTGTTATTTCTGTGTCCTTCTCGAGTTCGTACAGTCTCAACGCTTCATCCAAATCCGGTTGACGAGCAATCCTGCACGGCTCGCCTTCGTCGTCCATCCATCTCATCGTGAATTGCTCCGTCGTGCCAAAACCGCATATCGTTCGCATTTCATCGCGCAATTTTTCCAGCGAAATCTCAGGACTGATATAGGTGATTTGCATTTCTCTGATATGGAAAATTTGCATGACATTCAACATGCATCTATTTCAATTTTTTTTTTTTTATTTTTGTATGATCCTTATATTAATATGTAATTCTTACTGAATCTTTCTCTTAATTTAAATTTCCAAATAAATTTCCAAAAAAGAAGTATTTATATTATATTAATTTTCAAATGTAATTGATATGATACATTTTGTTATAGATACAATATAAAATTTGATAACAAATATTAAAATTTTTTTTAGAATAGAAAATACAATTTAAAATGTATTTCGAAGAAAATCAAATATTATTCTTTACATTAAATGTAACATATATAAAAATAGAAGAATTCATGTATATTGTCAAATTGTAAAACAGTTTTTATAACATGCATTACCCATTATATATAATTTTCAACCGAATGTCATCACTTTCTGTCATTTGTGTAGGCATTTTTGAAACAACTGTCTCCTATTCTGAAAAAGAAACCACATAATTTTAATAAATATACAACAGTGTAAACTAGTATAATATAACATAAATTAAAAATTATATTGAACTTATCACAATACGATTTTATCTAATAGAAAGATTGCCATATAAATAAAATGCAAATCTTACTATAAAATATCCAATATCTCAATTCTTTAATGGTACAAAATTTAAATATGATTGAAAACAAATAGATGCATTCGACAGTGGCGATTGTACGTACAGCGCAGTAATTCTGATATCAAACTGTTTTATCACTCAATCGTTCAGATATGTTAAAAAAAGAATCTAAGATATATTGTGGATAACAGTTATCTCTCTCTTTAGAGGGAAATAGGAGTAATGCGATATACATACACATAGATTTCGCAGAAGAGGAACGAAATTGGCGTTAGTCGATTAATGATTTTTTTATAGATGCGCCAATTAGCTAGCCATGTGATAATTGTCTCTCCTTCTATCTTTTATTGCCAATTAGGGACTTGCGCGTTTATACGTGCACGTCTTCTGACTCACCGCGATGAACTGTCGACTGTCGCGAGCGGCCGATGAACACTAGTTGCACAAAGCACACCGCACTATCTGAGGGACTTCCAGAGGCTCCTGGAGGGAATTCAACCTAATTACTATCACTCGTATAAAACTGTAGAAAAAGATTGGCTGACGCAGAATAATAATGCGCACGGCGACGCACTAAATGCTCGTTACACGTTACACGGCGTGAAGCGTTGTTAGTTGGTAAGCGCCATGTTTGTTGGCCACTGACTCAATGAGTAAAGCATGGTGTAAGGTGTAAGTAACAAGGTGTTGCTACTGCGCAGGCATTTCTACTGACCAATAAGAGAGCGTGACAAGATTCCGCCATCTTGTATAATTTAAATGGATATTAAAACGAAGATTCGGGCAAGAAAGAGTTTTAATGAAAGATCTTTCGTGTGTAATTATAATTATGGTGAATATATTTTTAGAAAATAATAAATACAAACACATAAATATAAATAAACAAATATAAGATACATAAACATATATAAGAAACAATAAACATATAATAAACGATAGAGAATACATAAAAGATAATAAACAATATAGAAGATAGTTCACGTAACATATATTATAGATTTCCAGGCGATTTATGCGCTTAATGCGTGAAACGGAACGCATCCCTTGTTACTTACACCATGGAGTAAAGAAGAACAGGAAAAAATGTATCGGCAGTGGGGGTAGACCTTAGAACATATATAAAATGGAAGAGGAATAGCAGGCTGAAAAGTGTCGGAAGGAAGTGAGAAAGAAAATCGTAGTTGCCTCTCTCTTGTGAGTAACTATACACACAAGCATCGTGTCTGTAGTATACATACTTTTGTGTACACACACATGGCCGCGCATGCGCACTTTTGAGCAGAGTAACTCACAAGAGAGAGGCAACTATGATTTTCTTTCTCACTTCCTTCCGACATGTTTTTCTATCGGGAAACAAAGGCATTCCCCTTCCATTTATATATGTTCTAAGGGTGCACCCGGGTGGAAAAAATCGGAATACAGCCCAAAATAGATAAATACTTGGTGGACCACTATCCTTGTCAGAGATTAGTTGATGCTATTCTAGTATCACAATCAAAAACATTGACTTCATATATGACTTCATCTTATAAACTGAAAGAAAAATAAATAATTCGCAACCAATTCTAATTTTACTGTTTAAATGCATAAATAAAACCAAAACATTTTCTGGGATATGTGTGCCGCTGTATCGCTTTTATCGCTAAATATCTAATGACAAATGTTTTAGTTTAGATGATAAATGTAAAAAAAGAGAGAAGTCCATCCAAGAATATACATATCTCTTTCTAATTCCGCCTCCGATTTTCGATATGTTGTTAGTATTCATTGGATTACGTTCAAAAATTTATTTTCCAAAGTAGAGTAGCGTTCAATTGATCAATCACGATAAAAGAAACAACAATTTTTTCTTCCGATTGATCAAATCAAACGCTACTTTATCAAAGAGTAAATTTTGGAACCCCTGAATAATCCTGATCGCTAAAGGCCATTGCACGTAAATAGTTTAGTCATAACTCGTAAACGTAAAGCAATAAGCAAATTGACCAATCACAGTCAAACATTCTCACAATGCAATAAGAATGTGGCTCCGCGTCTATGTATTTTATATATCTATGTATTTATATATCTACGAACAAAGAATTGCACGCAAATGGCGAGCAACCACGTCTTTATGCACTCGATGAAATTTTTCAAATCGAGAAAGGAACCGATGCAAAATTAACGAGTCGATTTTTAACGATAATCGCAAGCGTGCATCGTGACGAGAGATTTGCGAAAATTGGAATCTATTATTTGGCTTGACGGTTAGATTTCCGGTTAACGCGCGCGTTCTCTCCGATGGCGTCGATTCGTGATTGGCTGACAACTGTAACATTATGGCAGCGACGAATCACAGACGCGGAAACATATGGGTCCACGTTAGTTGACGCATCACAGATTTATCTATTCCTAGACTACGTTCTTTATGCCGGCGGACACGCACCGGTTCATCTCGATAACGACGAATAAATTCGCGCCACGCGCTTAGGCTTCCGAAAGTTATCTGTGCATAGCGCAGAGCAAATCGGCTGTGCTCCGATTTCGGATACAAGCTCATAGCGGGGACGCATTCGGCGTTGAGGATCGCTCGCATTAAGAGCGTGCGAACTTACGATGGCGTCAGCCATGGATTTTCAAGCGCAAGGCGAGAAGACTAACGGACATGATCAACCAGGTGTTCACCAGAATAGTCAGGAAAACGCGGGCCAGCAGAATCAAGGCCAATACCACCAGCAGCAACATCAGCAGCATGGTCAGCAGCAGCAAGCTACAGCCGGTATCCCTGGAAAGGACGACGAGCGCAAGCTCTTCGTTGGCGGATTGTCTCGTAGCACCACCGACAAAGAGTTGCATGAACACTTCAGCAAATTTGGCGAGATCGAGAGTATCTCCGTCAAGGTCGATCCCCACACCGGTGTCTCACGCGGCTTCGCTTTCATGGTGTTTGCCAATCCCAAGACCATCGATAAGCTGCTCGCGTCCGGCGAGCATTATATTAACAAGCGTAAGGTAAAAGAGCAACATGGATCAAACTGGTTAAAAACTTTAGTTTTTTCAATTTTCTTAGATGTTAAAAATTTTAGAATTGCACTATATCCTCTTTCTTACCATTGTAGTGTAGAAAATGTGCTACAAAATTATGTTATGCAATGAGAGATAGAAGCTGTGCTTGTACCACCCTGCATTTACAGTCAAATCTCTCTATTCTTAGTACTTCTGTTTTCTGAGCAGCCTTAACCTCTGTACATTTAGCATCATCCGCATTGTTCCTGTATTGTCTTTATTTCATATTTGCCACTTAACTATGTCTATAGAAAATAAAAGGGGGAAAAAAATGCTATAAATCTGTTTGGATATTTGGCTTTGATGTACAAATAATAAGAAGGTTATTTATTTCATGATTGTATAGGTGGATCCAAAGCGAGTGAGCAAAAAACCTCAACATGGTAAAGTCTTTGTGGGTGGTCTCACACCAGAGATCACGGATGAAGATATTAAAACTCATTTCGGACAATACGGAACTATCGTCGAGCTGCAAGCACCTTTCGACAAAGTCAAAAATCAACGGAAGGGTTTCTGTTTTATCACGTTTGACTCGAAGGAGGTTGTGTATAAGTTACTGAAAACACCTAAACAGACGATAAATGGTAAGGAGGTAGATGTCAAAAAGGTGAAGGTTAATCCAGATCCGAGAAATCAAGGTTTCTGGGCACCGGGTTATGGATATGGTTATGGTGGTGGTTATTATCTTCCCGATTATAATGGCTATCATAGTGGCTATGATGATATGTACACCAACTATGATTATGCCGGATACGACGGCTATGATAACATGGGCTATGGACCCAAACCACGAGGAAATGGTCCAGGACCGCGTCAGTTTCAGAGACATCAACCGTACTAAATGAAACAGGTATATTAACTATACTATCATATTTCTTCATACTGAACATTAAGAAGGTCCTAGGTAGAATACTACAAGATATATCAAAAGTCATCTTGTAAGAGAATAGCCCTTCAATTTTCATTTGTTCTATGCAGAGATATTGTCCTTCCTAGATATTGTCTACTGAGTGATGAGTAATAAGAAATAACATTGCATAAAAAACAATGATGGCAGTGCTTGCAATATTTTCGTTGCTAATATGCATGTGTTTTCTATTGATTGTTACATTCTCTGATTCTTACTTTATCTTCTTTATTACGACCTTTTGCGCAGACCGAGCTATTCTTTCACGAGATATAGGGCGCATTTCATTTAGTATTACAAATACTATGAAGCATTTGATTAATTAAACAAGTAATCTTTACTTCTTTTGTCCTGATTGATTAAATAATTCAAAGTATTTGTAATATCAAGTCGAGTGCACTTGAAATATACAGATTACGGTCGGAGACTGAATTGGGGATGTTGGAAATGAAGAAAACAAGGAACTGGGAAAAATTTATACGGTTAGGTTCAAAAACTTAGAACTTATGTACTGGAAAAGCCACATATTGTTCTGCTGTTCTTCCAATATATGTTTGACCTTATCTGTTGATTGTAATATGCATGTCAGATTACAAATCATAGATAAATGTTATATATGTCATTCTTCAAATTTAGTTTTTAGTACTATGTACTGACAACTTATTTAGAAAAAACACATTCTGTTATAAAACAAGCTATTACTTCAAAATAATTTTTCATAGTGTTTTACTTCAAAATATTTCAAACATGTTATATATTATATATATTTCATTTATAATACTTTGAAGCTTATATATTGTGCTTATAATATATATATATTTATTATAAGCTTTCGCATAAATTTCAAACAGATAACAGTTTTTTTTCTGCTTATATTTCTTAAAATTTTTGGTATCTAAAATAAAATTCATGTATATTCAGACGTTGGAGAGAACGTCGGAAATGCGAAAGAATTGAAAAAATAAAAAGTATAAAGAAGACAAACAGATAGATGTGGACACCTCTGCTAAATTGTTCAGATCATTAAATTGTATGACATACTGGAATGAATCTTTTGTGTTATAAACTACAATGATTTGCAATGTGCAGCTTGTAAAAGAACAATTTTCTTCTATAATTTGTCAGGCAAATATTTTTATAACTTAAATTTAACTGTGCTTCTAAAAAAAAAAGATAGCCTTGGCATACAGAATATCATCTCCTTTTCATATTTAACGAATTTATCGTAGAGAATTATCGCTTGCCAATCAGCAACAAGTAGATATCCTGGATACCCTATATAGCTATCTTTTTTTATAATTCAGTGGAAGTTGCCCCCACCATTTGAAGATTTATTCCAATATGTTGTATAATTCAATGATTCAGAATGGTCATGCCCTTTCCAGTATATATTCTAAGATTGTAAACGGCTCGTCCAACAAGCTCCGAATCCCCCCGAGTTTAATACATTATAAAGGAAACACACGCTAGAGAGAGAGAGAGAGAGAGAAAGAGAGAGAGTGATAGCATAACTGAAATTAACAATAATAACAAGAAATACAAGTTAATAATATTAATGTAGAATGAGTAATTAAGAATGTGAGTAATATTAACAATAGAAAGCATTAATATTTTTATTTAACGACCATTAAACGATCGTTGCCCGAAACCAGTGATTCGAAATCAGTGTTAAACAATGGAATCAATGTTATCATGTAAAAAAAAAATATAGAAGTTTTAAAATGCGCGTGTCTCATATTTTCTTCCGCAGTAACAGAACAGGTTAATGCTAAACTAATAACACGATAATTTATACAGAATTTGTACTTTCTGTAATGTACTTCGTTCTATTTATAGAGAATATGGCAAGGTTTTCTGTGTAATAAAAGAACTACAACAATTGATATATATGATCATAAAATTTGTTAAAGGAAAAACTTCAATTTCAAATACATTTATATTGGAATACTGTTAGTCGTATTCATTCAATTTAACTCTTTATTTGTTCTTTATTCATAATTTGCAACTAACTAACGTATATATCTAATATATTGAGTTGTGCCGCAAAATAATATATCTAATATATTGTTTTGCATGTTAAGAAATTTTTTGCTGGGGATCGAAGAAATTTTTTATATTTTTACATTCAAATAATACATACATTTAATATACAATCAAATAATTATAGCAGCTTTTAATTAATGTGGCATCAGTGCAGTATAATTCGGGTAACCGAATTTGCTGTTACAGGCTGCGTCCCGTTTTAAATGGCAATGCATCATAGGTTTGTTCTTTATAGTTGAATTTCCTGCACTCGTATACATTAAAAATAAGATGGGTATATGTCCAAAAAAAAAATAAAGAAACAAAAAGAGTGCAAGAAGTTTAGCTACAAAGAACGAACCTCATATATGAATGAAAGTATATATATATATGGATGATTTTTCAGTACTGCCAGTACTTCAGTCTATATCGAAATACACAACAGATAGATGTAAAGACAAAAATACATATAATCTTGAAGAAAAATATATCTACATATGAAGATGTCGTTCTTATTCATCTTTGAAAATTTGGCACAATTTTTCCGGTCAACTCAATATTTTAGTATTCTAGTACTTTACTTTAGTATTCTCATATTCTTTAGAAATTTAAGTTTGTTCACAAGTATTTCTTTATTACATGCTATTCACTATATACATTATATATAAAAAAATAATGTATGTTGATATACCTTGATTCAAATTATTTTTAGACAATCTTAATTTGTGTGGTTACAATCCTGCTATATAATAGACAAAAAAAAAAAGAAAATACTTATGGACCAAGGGCTTATATAAAAATATATTTCTTCCTTATATAACTCATGTCAAATAGTGTAGTCAAAGTTAAATATATGCTCTAAACTCTAAATATATGATCTAATATGCAACCGTTTATAATTGAAGAATATGTAAGTTATGTTAAGGAGTATCTAAACTCATTTTCGTATCATCTAATATCTGTATAATATCTGATATCTGTGTAACACATTGAAAAATGTGTAAGTTATACAGTTTATAAGCTAACAAATTGTACATATATGTACATCGTATGTATGTTACATCAAGAAAGAAAAACATACATACATTCATGTATGCGTATTTGTAAGGATATGACGATGTAAGAATATGATGAGTTAGAATTTAGAGGAAAAAAATGTAAAAAAAAAATATAAAAAAGAATATAATTAAAATATGAGCGTCCTGGGTATATACATGAAGTGCACGCAAACGACGGACCTAGCTGAAATAGTATCGACGAAACGATACAACTGTAATAATGAGAAAAGAAAAAAAATATGCATATTGCACTATAACCATAGTTTACAATATTTATGCAGAATTGTATTATACTATCGACATCCTGTGAATGTGTCATTGTAAAACATATATTGTCATAGTTAGTCTGGCAATTCTAATCTGTCTTTAATAAGACGAGATAGATAAAATCTATCTCGAAACAAAGTTCTATTACTTGCGTGTCGTCTGTGTGCTCGGTCTGTATAACAAAAGAATAAGATATGAATACGGCGAAAAAATAATAACAGTATGTACACATTGAAAATAACAAAGATTTTCTTAAACGTTCGAATTAAGTGATATTAATGTTTAAAGTCCATTTTAGACGATTTATAATTCGTGACAAATTTCGTAACAAATTTATAGAATTCCATTTATAATTTTACATGTCATGCAATACAGAAAACACATTTGAAGAAATAAAATAAACGTATACATTAGGACATGTGGCACATAAAATCAAAGCTTTAAAATCTTTTACACACACACAAACATACATACATACATATATATATATATATATATATATATATATTCTTAAAATGTTTTCTGTGTAATTATAAATAAATTTTTATAGCGATATTTATCGCGAATTCTAATTCGTTTAAAGTAGATTTAAGGCGGCAAAAGATCAGAAATGAAAACACAATCTGTAGATTACTTTAATATTTCTTTCGCATTTCTAACGCGCGAGTAGCAGTTGCTGTTCACCGTACGAAGACTGCTCTTCATATCGCGAAAAGACTGTCACAAATGATGATACAGGCTCTAGAAAATTTTGACAATTAATAGAATTTGCGGTTTCGACTACAAAATTGAAAGAAAACTGGGTAATATAATTGTTAGAGAATGTAGATAAGGCACAATATGTGGGACTATGTTTAGATACATCGAAATTATATTGTACACAAGGCTGAAAAAGCTTTAAACATTCAAAAGTTTTTTCTCAGACGTCGCAAAGGCATCAATGGTTTGGCTTAACTCAATTGAGTGAAAGTTAACGGGAGAAATTCCCTTGAGAACATCTTTAATAGATTTTTAATAGAATTCGTTTTTGTGAACCCTGTTGGATGCATTACTGATGTTCATTACAGCGTTTATTGATGCATTTATTGCGAACATTGTTGGATGTGTTATTGATGTACATTACAGACTGTTGTGCAGAAATTTATGTGTAAAGCCTGTATATAGTATATAAGCAGATTGAATATGCAAAATGCTCAATATTTATGACATAATGAAATACTGAGCTTTTTCAATCAAGATGCTTATATTACAATTTTACTTACTAATATCTAAATATTACATCTAGAGATATGCTTTTACATCTAAAATTAATGTACAACAGGCTTTAATCTCTCTATTAGTATGTCAAACTAGTGCATCCAAAGGAATTTACTATAAGCCAAGCTAACTGTCTTTGACATTAAATCTGTATACTGTGTATACCATATTTGCGTGTGAAAATATATATGGAAAACAAAAGAAAGAGAGAAAGAGAAAAAGAGAGAATGAAAAATTAAAGGAAACGATACAGATATTTTGTTACTATTAATTACTATTCGCCTGTTTCACCCATGACACAGTGTATATTTTAATTATAGCAAAAATAAATGCCAATTATTTCAAATATTCTTTCTGATATTATATATAACATATTTGTAATGTATATTATATATATA